GGGGTACAGAGTGGGGCAGAGCCTGGGCACTGGAGCCATGTTTCCAGGGGTCGAATACCACCTACTGGCTATGACTTTGATCAGGTTATTTTATCTCTCTGTGCCACAGAAGTCATCAGCTTTAAACTCAGGGTAATAATCACACCTTCCTCCTAGAGGTGTTGATCTATATAATGTATTTAGACTAATGCCTAGCATAAAACAAGTGCCAAATATTTAGCTCTTCTTATTAAAATACCTGATAGAGAAAAGAGCTAGTCAGGGAGGGGTTGAGAGTTAGTACCGCATCCCTTTGAGGTCTGGGTCAGCCTCAGCACCAGGGGACCAGGGTAGGTCACTGCCAGCAACTAGAGTAGGGTCCAGCATCAGGTCATTGTCTGGCTGAGGTTAAAGTCTACACCAGAGTCCAGCCAAGCTCTGGGGTTAGGCAGTGTCCAGGTTCAGGTCAACACAGGGTCTGGGCTGTCAGTGTCTGGTCAAATCTGGGGTTCAATATGGGATCAGAGTCAGTGTCCAGGTGGAGTGGGATGAGGTAGGGTGAGGGGTCCAGGGCAGCAGCCAGTTCCTCCCAGAAGTGGCCTGAGTTTTGGGGGGCTGCAGCCATGGGCAGCAGGGCCACTCACCGACTGGATGAGCAGGTCTCCCACCTTCTGCTGGGCATGCCAGGTCTGCACGCAGTGCCGGACCTGCTCCAGGAACTGCTCATGGTGCTCCAGGAGCTCCGGGATCTGGTCAAAAATCTCGTCCACCAGTGATGGGTCGCACAGCAATGAGTTCTCTGGCTGCTTCAGCGGCTGCATGTAGCCCTGGGGGGACCCATGGGGTCAATGCAAGTCCCCTTAGAGATGGCACCTCAACCCACTGGCACAGGTGCACACAGTCACCCAGANCCTCAGGGCACAGACCTGGTGGGGGAAACCAAGGCTCTCAGAGAGCTTGCTCATCTGGCCCAGGGTGGTCAGGTCCTCATCTAGGCGGCTGATGGCCTTCTGGATGTTCTCCCGATTGGTGACTTGGGATGCCCCTGGTGGGGTTAGAAGAAGGCCATGGACAGATCCGAAGACTCACAAGACAAACATTCATCCCCTTACCGCACAACTTGCAGCTGGGCACGGGGAGTAGTCTGACAAACCAGAGCTTGTGAACCACAAGTGCCCAAGAACAAAACTAGCAGGCAGCTCACAGAGAAGCCCCAGGCCTGAGAGCAGGGGATTGGGCATAAATCCAGAGCTACAGAGCACAGGGCATTGGGCCCTTAGAGAAGTCCCTGGAAGAGCACAAAGAATAAACAGCAGACGGCTCTGTGGGTTATGCAGACGCCAGCTGACAAACTGGCTGGCTGCAGTGGTGCAGCCTCCCATGGGGAGTCGGCTGGGCAGGCAGAGCCTTGGGCAGTCAAATCTGCTGACTATAGGGCTCAATTCTCCCACAAAGGAGGGAGCAATGAGCTGATGCCCTGGATTTCTCTGGTCCTATCCTGTACCTGACCACCTCCAAGGAGCTACAGGTCAGCTCAGCATTCCCCCACCCTCTGCACTGCTTGCTGAGGGTGCACACCTTGGACCAACAGCCCACAAATGGGCAGCACAGATAGCAGTGCAGTGTGCTAGACAAGCCAGGGCTGGGGGTAGCTCCTACTCCCTCTGAGGGCAACAGTTCCCCACAGCTCTCACCACCTGGGCAGCCACATTTTCTTCCATGTGACCTTGCCCCACACGTGGCCATAGCTGAGTGGAGCAGGACTGGACTGGACACCTGACCTAAGATAGTCATTTTATTGAATAGCCTGTTCTTTAGCGAGAAGAGATGATTGGGCCAATAATCAGCTTGCATTCCTACATAGGGGTCCATGAAGGACAGGCGTGGGTTCGCCGTGGGGATGAGCGAATCCCTTCACCTTGAGGACCACCCCAGGTGAGCTGAGGGACAGAGTCTGGGCCTGAACCGCCTGCCACCCACAGGTAGCCTCACTACCGTTCTAGACGAACCATCCTACTCAAGAAGGTGAACTGTGGATCCTGGAGCAGCCAGGGCCCAGAGCTAAGGGAGAAAGGCTGAGATGTAGAAAAGAGCGTGACAGATCATGGTAGTTAAGCGAAAGCTGAGCAGTGAGGAAAACAGGCCAAGAGTGGGAAGGGAGTGGAGGGTGGGGAGAGAGAAACACACATACACACAGCAGGAGGAGCCAGTGGGTCTTTGAAGCAGCATCAGCTCCTGACAGTCTCAGCCCCAAACAGCACAGATCTTTCTAGCCACCCTTTTGCTTGAACTGCCTTGAGTGAGTCTCTATTCCCTGTGCACAAAACTGCTTGATTAGAACAGTGTACCATCATCTAATATGAGGCGCTTAAGTAAGTTTGTGCAGAATCAGTGGCTAATTACGGTATGTCTGTGCCACCCCAGCCCAGCCCCACCTGCCAGCCTAGGTTAAGTCCTTGCCCAGTCACAAAGTGGTCTGCATGGAGAGGTCCTGGACTGGTTCTGGGCATACTAACCATCCCCTTATACTGGACAGGTAAGTGAGGCCCCAAAGCAGAAAAGCAGACAGATAGGCAGCCAACCTGGCCACAGCTCAAACCCTCCAGAGGGCTTCTCAGGGGAAGACAACAACACACAGAACCCTGCGCAGCTCTGAGTCAGCCCCACCTTTGATGATGTCCGCGTCTTCCAACGGCAGCTTCCACAGGAGTTTATATTTGCTAGCCGTGTCAATGACGCTGGCTGCTGTGTACCTGTGGGGAGCCAAGGGGAATTCTGGCCAGGGGAGGGAAGTGGAACCCAGGGAGGGAAAACTGCTCCCTACTTCCTGAGACCCCCGCAGCCCGGTCCCCATCACTCACAGGCTCATGGAGCTGCGCCGCAGGGAACCCGACTTCCGCTTCAGGGTGGTGCAGATGATGAGGTCCGTGAACAGGAATAGGGACCGGTCCTTTTTGCCACCAACTGCCTTCTGTGGGGCCCGAGGCAGGATTCAGGCTCAGAGGCCCACCCTCCTGCCCACAGTGCCCAAGGGGACAGCCATGCCCAGGGAGGAGTGAGGGCTCTCCCCCAGCTGCCCAGAGGCAGAGGCAGAGTTGGGACTCAACCCAGGGATCCTGTTGGAGTGGAAGAGCAGGAGAGCCGGGGGCAGCGGTATGAGCAGAAGCGTGAACCAAGTTGGGGGGGCGGGGGGGGACAAACGGGCAGACAACTCAGGACACTTCTTACCACTTCAGTGACCATCTCCTGCCTCAGGAACCGCCGCATAGGGGCCTGGAGCTGTGGGGCAAGAAGGACAAGGCATCTTGAAGGCTAATTATTATTTCTCACTCCCTCCCCAGACCCTGGTGACCCCTTGGCCCCACTCCATGGGTCAGGTCAGTGGAAGCAACATCCCATCCACCCTCCTGATGCTGTCAGGCCATGAGTCACACGGCCAGAGGCAGATATGGAAAACGACATGGATGTGGGCAGGAAAGGGTAGAGATGTTGGTAGACAAGATGCAAACACACGGGGGACACCACTGTGGATATGGACATGGCCACAATTCCAGGTGACCACAGGTGGACACAGGTGTGTGTGTGTGGGGTGGGGCAGAGTGGGGCTGCACGCACGTCCTCCATGCCCTCGATGTGAGCCTCAATCTCCTGCAGCACTCGGGCGTGCCGCTCTGCCTCCTCGGCACTCCGCACGCCCTTGTTGATGCGCTCAGCCACCTGCTTGATGTTCCGCTGTGCGTCCAGCAGGAGTGGGTGGTCCGGGTGGTCCTCAGGCGTGTGCTTCAGGAGGTCCTGGGGTGGGAACCAGAATCAGATCTGCTTGCTTAGCTGCCCTTGCCAGGCCCTAGGACCTCCCACTGACTTAGGAGCAGGAAGGATTATGGGTAGATGCCAGAGAGGACTTCCTTTCCTACCTGACCCCTGGGGACCCAGACACAGAGCCCACTGCATCCCCACATGCCTCTAGGCCTTGCCCACCTGCCCAATCAGCCCCATGCCCACCTTCACCAGAAGCTCATAGCGTGGGATCCGCTGTACAGGCTTGATCATGAGGTCGGACAGCGCCTGCTTCTCCTTGTTCTCACGCATGCTTTGCTGAAATCCAAAACAGGGCAGATGGGCGGCCATGTGAGAAAAGACATGCAAAGAAGGGAATGTCCAAGGACCGGTTCACAGGAAGCTCCAGCTCAGCCCGAGGGCAGAGGCTGACCCACTGGGCTAGGGCTGTGGTGATCAGGATGGGAGCTCCTGGGGTCCCCAAAGCTGGCCCAAGGTGAAGGTGACCTCCATCCCCCTGCCCTGGCCCACAGTACCTCCAGGAACTTGAGAAAGGCAGGCTTTGCCTCCTTAGCCACACGCACAGCATCCTTTGCGTTGAGAAAGTTATCAATATAGGCAGAATAGATGTTGACCAGGACATCCTTGGAGAACTGTGGGTGAAGAGACAGGTTTGGGACTCTCAAGGTGTCCCTTACCCCACCTCACCCTGTCCTGGTTTCCTTTAATTTATGAGCCAACATCCTTTCCCCCTAACTAGAAATAATAGTCTCTGAGAGATCAGGCATGTGCTCCTGTGTTGTGTGTACATGTTGTATGTGTGACTGTGTGATTAGATGTGTGCATGTGCAGATATATACACAAGTGCATCTTATCCGTGTGTGTGTGCGCGTGTGTGTGCGCACGCGCATGTCCGTACGTGTCCCTGGATGTGTCCTATGAGCTCAGATCAGGTTCTCTCACTTCCAAATGGGCATTTCCATCCCCTGGTCTCCAACAGCACCAAGTCCAGCCAGGCGGGTCCTCTGAGTGACTCAGATTCATTCCACCTGCTTGGCCTCTGCTCATGTAATTCCCTCTACCAGGAATGCCCTCCCCACATCTAACTAAGTTTCACCCACCCTCAGGGCTGAGCTCCCGTTCTGCCCCCTCCAGGAAGCAGTCCCAGTTCTGACTAGGGCTGGAACTACACCTGGCCTCTGGCCTCCCCTAATCCCCAGGACAAATCTTGCCTCTCCAAGGAGATAGATGCCCCTATCCTGCCCAGTCAAGCCCTACTCAGAGCAAGGCACACAGCTGGTGGCTAATACCTGTTGACCAGCTGATGACTGGGCTAAATATGGAGGTTCTTGGTCAGAAGCCCTGGCTGGGGGTTAGGACACCCTGGTTCCTGTCTCAGCTGCACCATGGATGGACTAGGCGAACTGTGGTGGTGTTTCTGGTCTTCGCACCCACACTGCCCCTGGGCCTCTAAGCTCCTGTGCCTTTAAGGAGCCAATTATCCTCCCTCCCTGCCCCCCAGTGTGCTGCAGGGCAGAAGCAGAAGCAGCTCTGGGAGGAAGGTAGCCCTCACCAACTGCCCCCATCCTGGGACACAGCATCCTATGCTGGCCCCTCCCTGGGGGCCAGGCTTCTGTTATAGCCCATGGTCAGCATCAAAATCTGAGTGACTCTGAAGATAATGATGGGCTAGAATGTCAGCACTAAGCTGCGGTCCCATCACCACCAGGCCAAGGTTCTCAGCACATCAGTTTCCAGATCAGCAGGGACCTTCTAAGACCTTCTTAGGCCCAAGGCCCAACCACATCATCATAAAGACATGAAAACACACCCACAATCATTAAAAATAGGTAAGATTTTTTTTT